CAGGAATCAGACAAGACAAAAACAGGTTTTCTGGCCTGCCACACATGAAGTTCCTTGGTGGGTGTTTGCAAACCAGCCCAATCAGAATCTACCAGCCCAGAGCTCCGATTACTTTCCTTCACTCATCGAATCAAAACAAGTCTTTGATGCTTGTTCCCCTGAGCAGTGCAGCCTACCAGGCTGACGAGTTTGAGGCCAAGCCTCACAGAATTAGCACCCACTGGAATACTGTGGTACACCACATCGTATGCTTCTTTGCTGTATAAGTAAAAAATAACGTGCCCATATAGTGCTTTCTGCAGGAACCACTTTGTCTGCAGAGGAGGGTGGAGAAGCCAGGCTCCGACCCCAGCTCCTGCATCTTCCACTTCAAACTCAATGTGTGAAACGGCATTTGAATGCTGTTGACCATTAAGTCACAGGGGCAGTACCTTCCTACTGATGAGGCTCTTCTCGCAGTAACGCTGAACCTGTTGGAGGAAGACAGAAACATGAACCGGCATTCAGCACCCCGTCTCCCATCCTGCTGTCCAGCAGGGGTATCGCTTGCTGTTCTTGCAGTGCTCTTGGGAAGGAGTGCACAGTTCTTCATGAGTGCTGCCTCCCAGACAACAGTTTATTACAAAGGCTTCCAGAGTGGAAACACATGGTGCTAAGGTGCTGTGTTTGCAGCTTTGAGGGATGGGTTAGGTTACTGGAGTAGTGTAGTTTCTTCACCCTTGGCCCTCACAGTTTTGCTTTGCCTACAGACAGCCTCTGCACTCATACACGTTCCCTCTACGCCAAGACCATCTGTCCAGCTTTAATGCGCTGTCATCCAGACAGCAGCAGAGATCTGTACACTGGGGAGAATCACCCAGAAAGCAGATTCTGCCACGTGGGCCTTGGCTCTACTTCCAGCTCTCACACACGCTTCCCAATAGCCTTGAACAAGTCACCACCACCTCTGCCCTAGCAGACGACATTTGCATTACCTTGAAGAGGTTGATATTGTCAATCTGGCTCTGAAACAGAAAGTCATTGATGGATTTTAGCACTGTCCCTGAAAGAAAGGGCGGGGAAAGGAGAATAAAAATCATAAGCTGCTGGGCCTGCAACCCCTTACTGCCCACCCCCATGTCCCTGACTGATGGCTGCATACCCCAGGCGTTCACTCCAGTCTTACCTGTTTGGGAAACTGCCTGACAGTTTGGGTTTTGGTTCACATTACCTGTAAAACATGAAAACGATTCAAGGAAGGTTTATAATGGGTCTGTCTTAAAATTAAGCAAAAGACTAACAACTGAGCTGAAAGGGACACTGCACCAGGACAAAACCCAAGGAATAACTAACTACACATCTGCAAAATGTAGCTATACAGACAAAACATCAGCTCCTGCTCAATTTTAATTTCCCCTGTAGGGTATCCCTACATTGTAGGACAAGTGTGCTGCTGTGTCCTAAGAAACACCACCTGCATTTGTTCTGTAGCAGGAGGCAGCAGGTAGGGCGGGTGCAGACAAGTGCTCACACACTACGTAGTCATCATGCTGCAAAGATGAAGGGACAGGGACTGCAATGCATCCCTCACAGCAGTGGGGAGCTGGGAGGCACACAGGCTGGCAGGCGATTGGGAAGAGGGGAAAACCTGAGGATAGCTCCACGCCCAGACCTAGACAGCCAGAACAGGATTAATTGCTGCCACTCACTGCATTTTATATGCTAGTGTTTAACACCCACCTCACATCTCACTTTCGCAGCCTCTGTCATGAAGATGTACACAGGCTGCGTTTTCTAATGAAAGCACTTAACTGAGTGTGAGGAAGAGAAGAGTGTCAGGAATAGGGTGGAAGTATATATTTGAGAGAAGAGCAGAGAGCACCACCAGGCCCCTGCCCCCAAAGAGCTGCACTTCCCCTGGGCAAGGAGGAATTTCTTTATGAACTTAAGACAGGCTCTGTCCAAGACACACTGAGGTCTCGCAAATAGATTATTAGAGGAAAGGAGCCCTGCAAACGCCAGTGGATTTAAAAATCACAGCAAAAGAGTATTTTTTCACAAAGGAAAGGCACCGCTCAAGAAAGATTCATTCTGCAGAGGCATGCCTGACACAAGTAGAGGCTGTGCCACCAGATGACCCAGGAAATTTATTCTCTGCAGCTCTTGTGTTGTCCTGATTGTTGTCACACATCTGCTGTATTCCTCACTTCGCAGCCTTCCTTGTCCCCACTCAAATCAGATATTAAAACCACACAGAGAGGGAAACTGCCTCTACCAACTTATGATGCCATCTGCTGCTCCCCAGCTAGTGAAACAATGAGAGGGGTCCAGGTAGACACCAGTCGACATCCCCATGTTACAAAACCAGCGCCCTGAGGACCACCAACTAGCTCAGGGTCTATCAGCATCCCTGAAGATAGGTTTGCTTACCTCCCAGCATTGCCACAAACCGCTCCAGCAAATACAGGATCTGCTTAATGTACATCAAGTTCTTTGCCTTCAACCGTTTCCTATGAAAAATCAGACAGCTATTAGGCCCCAAAACATCTTCAGGGACTAACTCACAGCAGCTGAGCTGCAGAGACAAGCACCCTTCATTTTGGGGAGACAGGAACCAAGAATGATTTCTCCCAGGCTCGCTCTCCCTATTTGTGACAGGGCACAGACCCCTGGATATCCTGCCCAAGGTCACCCCAGAGCACTCACCCATGCAGCCCACACTGTTCCTACCATCGCCTTTCTTCTCACACATTAGTAACAGTTTATTTATTACAATGGCAGTGACGTGTCAAGTCCCTGTTGCAGTAACACTCCACAAATTCAAAGTTATTAGCATAATCAACCACTGCATGGATGACAAGACACAAGATTTGGCCAGAGCCAAAACCCACATATAGCTTCCTCCATCTCAGAGCTTACTGCCTCTGCCATAATGCCAGTCAGCACATGAAAGACCAAGGTCCAGGAGAGACATGAAAGACTGAACCTTTTGAAACTGCATCACAAAGCAGGAGCTATTAGAGGGAGATATTGGTAAAGGAACTGAGAGTATAAGGGAAAGCCAGAATCCTCAGGGTATTCCCCTTCTCACTGCTTAATACCAGCCCCAGGAGTCTGACTTAGATGGATTCTAGACAGAGATAATGAAGCAAGCGGCTTTTAATCTGCAGAAGTATTAATGCAAATAACTTTCCACCAGGGAAAAGTGAGAAAAACCATGCAGACATGAGACAAGCCACAGCATCCACACTGCCTGCCACTGTTGTGCTATTTTCCTCCCGGATCCTCACCTGTATCGCTCCATGTACTGCAACAGCTGGGAGTGGGCACAGCACAGCTACATGAACAAAAAAAAGAAACGGAGCTGTTATTACAAAGGAGTCAAGGAAGGGCGCTGTGCTGGATGCAGAGCTCGCTCACGATTAACAGGCCAGGCTAAGACTCACCTGAGAGCCACTGACCTCCGCACTATGGATACAGGTGATGGTGTCTATGAGGTTGTGGGCCTCGTCAATGATTACGATCTGGTCCTTCAGCTTGATCCCAGCAGCGTTCCTGGTAGGCTCATGCAAGAGCATCTGATAGGGCAGCACCACCAGCTACAGGAGAAGCACACACTGCCCTGATTCTAGATCTCATCCTTCCAAACTTAGGGCACTCCCCGACCACTCATTAAAGGCCCATATCAGACAGCCTCACAGAATTCAGTCAAGTTACTCTTGTTATGGGAAAGGTAGGAAGAGAGACAGGAGCACATGCTTGAGAGGGGCACTGGGATGTAAGCTGAAGAAAAATGATTGTGCTACAACTGCGTATCAGCTCAGGTTACCTTCCACATCTCCTCTGAAGCACTGAAAGCACATTTTCTGAC